ACTATCCTAGGAGCCTAGTTGTCTTGTATTTATTCTGTTTTTCTTGAAAAGGCAGGGCATGCCAGCAGAGACACGCTACCATTCCTGCATGCTTTGCAGCTCAAGGCAACTAGGAGAAATGGTACACGCAGCAGAGAAAGGAAAGTGTAGCTCCAGGAAAATAATTAAAGGAATGAGGAGCCACCAGCAAGAAAGGCCACAGTGGGTTCTTGAGATATCCCAGTTTTCCTGCCGCCTTGCTTTGAGCAGTCTTTTGTAAGAAACACCACAGATGACCAGACTTTCCCCTTCTCAAACTCTCAAAATACCACTGCATTTATTAAAAATGTTGGAAAACAAACCATTGGCTTCCTTCGTAGGGTCTGTGGAAGAGTTACCTGCTTGGGCTGTTGTGAACCTCTTGGTGTCTCTGCCTCGTAAACGATGCTGTGCCTTAAATTTACTTCCGTCAGGCAATTAATTCCAAGGAGCACAGGCTCATATTGCAAGCACATATGTTTGCTTTAGAAATAAAGTTGTTAATGGCTAAATGTATTCATTGTCCCTCATTTCACAAGCTCAGGATGGCAGGCACCATAATGTTTTCCAAGTACTGGTGACTGTTTCTCTTTGCACGGGGCACTGGCCTGTCTCTCACATTCACAGCTGTTGTACACGCTCTGCATTTAGAAAAAGAAAAGGGAGCGGAGAAGGCAGAAATCATTTGTGATTGGTGTGTGAACAAGAGCTGGCTTAGAGTCTCCTGCTCTGTCTCTGGGATGAGGATGATCCTTGATTGACCTTGAGGCACTTGATGAAGACAGTGGAGTCCATCCAGGTGCAGGTGATCTGGGATAATCAAGACAAAGTGTCTATGACTTTAAACTACAAAAAAAGAGTATCCGACATTCAGGAGAGAGGAAGAAAACTCTTTTGCTGTCAGTGGGGAGAAGGGACTGGGATTCCCAACCCAGAGACATTGAACCTCGTTCTCAGGGACGTCTTCACCCTGGTGGCCAAGGTCCTCATGGTCTGCAAAGGAAAACCAACAGTCTTGTGGTGCTGCCATTGGTCTTAAAGGTGGAAGCATTTTATTAATTTGTCTTTGAAGAATGTTTTATATTCTCGGCATTAACCATCCATTCTAAATTCACTTATTTCTTAAAAGACATAGATTACATTATTAGATATGAAGCATTAACTATAGAAACATAGACCTACACACACACACATTCATGCACAGACACTCACACATACATGCTTGAGTGGGTATTCAAGAAATAATGAGCAGTGAGACCAGGGAAAAGATGGAGGTTTGTACGTACTGTTTTATACCCATCCGTATGGCTTAAGCGGTTTACTATGTGCAGGTATTAATTTTCTAATAAAGGGAAAATGATTGGTTGCAGCCATGACATTTCCCTTCTAATAGCTATATACTTCAAAATGATCCACATTTTCAGAGTTGTATTTTGTCACAATATTCCAGGCAGAGTTCCACCACGTCATCCTATGAAGCACAGTCTTTAGGGAGTTGGCCATGCCTTGTGTGCACAGAGTGGAATGTTGGCTAATTGCTTTTGAACATCATGTCTGCTAGGCAGTCAGGAGAGACAGGGAGACCACAGTCTGCAGTATGCATGCTTGTTCCAATGCTCTCACGCTCAACAGTGTCCTGATGTGGATGGCAAATTTTGTGATCACTCTCGTTATGGACAGCCTTGTGAGCTGTTTGTTGAGCCTCTCATCTGCCCTTGAAAATCATAATTTCCGTTTTAAAAGGGAGTCACTGTGATAGCTTCTTTACAGGCATTATTCAAGTTTAATCTCAAATAGATTTTTGAGGCAGATGAAAATATTTAATGATGAAGAAATGGTTTGGGAACGTGCCCATGATTTTGTCTGAAACATTATCACGTTGATTATCTCACCCGCTGATTTCACGAACTCACTCATACCCCGTCATTGACAATGTCTGGCCTCTCAAAACATTCATATACATGCAGACTCCTAACATCTGTGTAATCCATCCCACTTACTCCTAGCCTCTTCTAATAATATCCTACTATGACTAGCAAAGGTAATAAGGATTCAGAAATAGACCTCATCTTTGTTTTGCACTCAAAATCTGTTCTTTTTGGGAAGTTTCCTTGTCCCCTTAGCCTAGATCACTTTTGCTTCTTGCACACCTCCTGCACACTCAAAGCCCCTTTCAAAGCAGTTATCAGTTTAGAAAGATCTTTCTGATGAAGGAGTCTATCCCTAGTGTTCTAAGCTCCTCGAAGGTAGGCAACACTTTGTTTTTTCTTTTAATTATTTCTCCCCCAAGCTTATTGTGTGAATAACACTGTCACATTAATAGACATTCAGTAAGTGTTGGTGGAAGACTCATTGGCGAGATCACTAGAACAGCCAGAGGAGGGGCGCCAGCACTCCCCATCTATTATGAAGAATTCTGCAGAAACAGATGAGGGTGGCTTGCTTTCTTCAGAGGGTCAAACCTGCACTCACAGAGCCAGAATACCTCTGGTTTTTGGAAGCGGGTATAAAATCCTGCTTCAGATAAACTGCAGGTGTCCTTCTTGAAAAAGTCTTCATTCTATCACTTCGTTTTGCTCCAGGTAACTTGCTGAGAACCTGGACCCTCACTGAAGTCCTTTCTCATTGTTTTGCCCCAGCACAAAAGTTTAGCCTTTATAACAATGATTTTGTCATATCATAATTATTTCCATAGTTTTATCACTGTGTAGCTTGAAAATGGCAAACAGAAACACACACACACACACACACACACACACTCCTTTGGGAGAGCAATTATTCATATTGAATAGTGGGGTAGGGGTGGGCATGACAGAGAGCCATCAAGTAGCGAAATGTCCCCACCCCCAAAGAGCCCTTTTAAATGTCCACAGTGGTATGATTTTAAGCAGTGCTTTTATTATTTCCATTTTATTGCTGGATAAATCATCTCACATTGAAATAAAGGGAATGTCATAAACTAAATACCCGCACTGGTTAGAATGTTCCTCTCCTTTGAAATCACCAACAACCTAAGGAAATGTTTTAAATTGATGCAGAAAACCTAATATTTCTATTTCAATCCTGACTCTAAATGAGGGAAGTCTAGAAGATGGTTGCCCCAGGACCAAAATTCCATCCATTTTCTTTCTTCCTCTAACAATACTGGACTTACAGTTTTTAAAATAGATGTTCTGGGGGGCTCCTGGGTGGCCCAGTTGGGTGAGCATCTGACTCTTGATTTCAGATCAGGACAGGATCCCAGGGTTGTGGGATGGAGCCCTGTGTCAGGCTCCATGCTGGGCATAGAGCCTGCTTGAGACTCTCTCTCTCTCCCCCTGCTCCTCCCCTGGTCATGCTTTCTCTCTACAAATAAATAAAAATTAAAAAACAAAAGAAAGAAAATGGAGTGCTTTTCAAAACTCACAATTTTTTAAACTTTACAAATTTGATTTTTTTTAAATCACAACTACATCTCACTCTTGCATCGGTCATGACCGTGCTGTGCACAAACATAGGTGTCTAATGAAATATTTTCCTTCAAGCTGCTTTTATATTTAGAGGCAGAAACAAGGGCATAAAGCATAGGTTGCACTTGGCATTGTTATTCGATTTGATTAATCCTTAGGGATGCATTAAAGCTACAGAGTCAGAATTCTCCAACAGTTCAATTAAGGAAGTGATATGAAACAAATGTATCCAGTGGCTAAAAATCCTTCCTCCTTTTCAATCATCCAACTATTTACCTACACAAGGATCTTCGTTGTATATGATCAGGTCCCTACCTACCTCCATAGCTTTTCCTTGTGGGTAAGAAGAGGGTAGAACTTAGTAACTAAGCATGTATATTTCAATTTAAAAAAATTCTTGCTTTAGAAAACACAAAGAACCTTGTATTTAATTCACAAATGGACCACATTAAAAAAATAAAATTCTTATTATTTACAGTTTTCAATCCTCAGAGAGGACATTAAGCATGCAGAGAAAACAAATACAGTCTCCGAATTTAATTCTAGTTGCATTATCTCTTGTTGTTCTTATTTGTATATCACAGCCTGAAGCTTCGATATTGTTTGTATATTCATCTATCAGGCAGAATGTTCGGGGGAAAGGAATCACAAAGACCCATAAGAAAAGTCATTCAACTTCTGAGACTTGTAGGTTAATTTAACGCAGGGAGAAAACTATTTTAAATGTGATGGTATACTAAAAAATGAGACTATTTAGCATTGTGTTTCCCCTCCAGCGAACCAAAGGGCACTTGGTCCTGTGTTTCAATTTCTTTTCTTTCTTAAATTATTATTTAAACAGGACAAAAATAATGTAGTGCAGAACAAGTGTCATTAACTCTAGAAAACTAAATAGCAAATGAGCCCATTTCAATCAAATGCCTAGGATTCTTTTAATCAAGTATTTGTTGTGTGCAGGCCAGTGCTATCTAGCCTCTATAAACTACCTCTGGCCCCTTTGGAACCTTCACTTTACTTCTTTTAGAGATTCTGTTGTTTCTGTGTACTTTTTTTTTTTCTATAAATGTATACAAGAGCGAAACTGTCTTAGATGTGTGTGTGTGTGTGTGTGTGTGTGTGTGTGTGTTTCTATTTTTTGTCCAGTTTTACTACTGCATTGTCAGTAGCCCAAAGAGGTTAATTGACTAGCTTCAGGCATCTTGGGAGTTGGGGCCTGGATTAAGAATTAGAACGAAGGAAAATGTTGGCTTCCACTCTTTTTCTTCATCATGAGAATGCAGGTCTCGGCTGAAGATCTTATCAAAAGAAACGGAAAAGTAATCATTTCTTTGCTTTGAACTGTGTTGGTTAGAGGGAACTTAAACTCACTCCCGGGGCCAAGGTGTCAAGCCGATATATTATCCCACACAAGGATATATCCATTGTATATGGATGGATGGATTGTTAAAAGATTTCCCTAATTGGCAAATGCCTGTGGTAAGTGTCCATTCACCCACAGCCAAAGATCACAAAACATACCAGAAAGTCCTTTAGCATTTAAAGGGATGCATTCAGAGACCTCAGATAACCCCCAGATTCCTTCTGATTGTGGTTGTGACAGTGTCCTCATCTGCAAAGAGAAATGATAATATCTGCCTCACATAACTGTTGTGAGGACCAAACTAGACAGTAAATCAGAGGACAGCAAGAGAGCCACAGTAAGGTCCCAGCTCTGGGTAATTTGCAAGTGTAAGTCCAGAAAATGGGGATCCCTCTGGAACTGCCTCTGTTCAAATCCAAGGCCAACTCATGGGGTTTCCTAAGAAAGATAGCAAAGCCAAGCCAACAGAAAGTATTATTTTTTCCTTAAAAGAAATTCCTTAAGCATCCTTCTTAAGCGTCTTCATGAATAAGGCAATGTCATGCTGGTACTGGTCAATAACACACTAGTTAATTCAATCCAATCACACTTTCCTTAATTCTCTTTATCTGTATTTACTAAATGGAAGCCACCGTCCCCCGCTCTCTCCCAGTTTATTTGTTCTTCTTTCCTGTTCGCCCTCCATCCTGCACCTTTTGACTTAAAAATAGAAATAATTATGCCAATATAATTAGCAGCAACGTCTCTCTATCTTTTTCTAATGTCTTTCTTTAATTCTGTACTCTCTCACTATTGCTCTATCTGGGGAAAAGAGAAAAAACAAACAAACAAAAACAGACCCTTACTAATTTACCAAATTCAAGCAGCATTTATTGACCTCTGGGCACTGGGCTTGGTGCCAGGCACTTCCCATCGATCCCATCATCTCCCTTCACCTTACCCAGGTGTCAGTCCCATAGGCTCTGTACCTGCTGAAGCCACTCCTGTCCCGGAAGAAGACCTGCTCTGCCCTCTATTTCTCCTTGGTGTCAAAAAGTCTGGAAAATGTAGCATCAGTTTGCAGCATCAGTTTGCTACTGCTTATCCCTAATGACTAAGCACAATGAACACTTTCTATGCACACATTATGCCTGAGATTTTAGCTTAACAACCATACATGAAGTCGGCCCTGTCCTCATTTTGCGGATGAAACAGTTGACTGGCATGCCCAAGCCTGATGACCAGAGAGTGAAAGAACAGACTTTCAAACTCAGTCCTTCTGGCCCTGGGATCCCTTATTGATTGATTGATTGATTGATTGATTGATTTATGAGAGAGAGAGAGAGCAGGGGAGGGTCAGAGAGAGAGGGAGACCAGAATCTGAAACAGGCTCCAGGCTCTGAGCTGGCTGTTAGCACAGAGCCCGACACGGGGCTTGAACCCACGAACCATGAGCCAAAGTCCAACACTTAACTGACTGAGCCACCGAAGCGCCCCCCTGGGATCCCTTCCTTAACCAGAAGCTTTACATGCTGCCCCTCAATTACTGATGTGAATGCTGAGAATTTCTTAAATTCTTTTTTCTTTTTAAGTTTATTTATGTATTTTAAGAGAGAGAACATGAGTGGCAGAGGGTCACAAAGAAGAGGGAGAGAGAGAATCCCAAGCAGGCTCCATACTATCAGTGCAGAGCCCAGCACAGGGCTCAGTCTCACAGACCATGAGACTATGACCTGAGCTGAAATCGAGAGTCAGATGCTTAACCATCTGAGCCACGCAGGTGCCCCAGGGATTTCTTAAATTCTTGTACCTAGCTTTGTCCCCACCTTGTTTCAATGTTTAACTTCAACATTCCTTCCTAATCTCAGTGTAGAGACCCTAATTAGTATTCTTAAGATACCTACCTTTGTCTTTGCTTTATCGTAAGTGTTTGAACTCCTGAGTTCTGGGGAAATTTGGAAGGGATCATTTTGGGCTCCACTGCAGTGACTTTCAATGACAGGATGCAGCAGCCTTTCTGTGCAGTCCCGAGAGAAGGAAGAATTCAGCAAGTTCATTGTTAGGGGAGGGAAGGTGCGTGCTCTGCGGGGTTCAGGGGAGGAAAGTGATGGTCTGACTGGGCGCTAGGAAAGCAGGGGTCATCCAGAGGGCACTTACTTGCTAGATGAGACGAGCCCAGTGGCCCTGCGGCCACTCACCTGCAGCCAGCAGAAATGTGGCAGCTGTCTTTGGTCGCCATCCTGAGAGAAGGCACCGTGGTGTAATGTGAACTCAACCCTCCAGGAAGGCAATCTCTTTCCTCACATCAAATACGTTTAAAGTTCACATACCCTAGGAAGGGATACTCAGTAAGCACATATCCTAACATTTAATCATCTCTAACTCCTTTTGAAAGAGTTTCCTAACACCTAAAAGGAATTAAGGAATAAAAATTTATGCTTAATCATAGCTTCTCAGGAGACGTCCATGGCTAGAAGAAACATCACTATGGACTGCAAGAAAAAAAAAAAAAAAAAAGAACTTATTCTTGTTGTCTTTGTTACCCCAAGTCCTACATTGAGGATCCACTGGCGATGGGAAGGTCAGACACTCCACCTGGGACTGGGAACCCTAAGTGGTTAGGAATGAAATCCATGGACCCTTAACCACAACTGACTAATTGAGAAACTCTATGGGATGATGAATAGATACATGTAGCAATTTGCTGCATTTTCTCTTGCAAAGAGAGAAGACAGGGAGAAAAATAAATTTGGAAGAAAAAGTAACCCATAAAACTACAAATGGAAGGAAATTGCATTTTTAAGAAGTGAAATGAGCCTTCTTTCATTAGTTTAATTTCCAAAGTTCTGTAGGATATTCAGGGGACAATATCCTGTGGAAAGTAAGAATTATAGACTTACAAGGAGGGTGAGAGGTCAGGGATGGAGATGTCAACCCCGGAGAGAGCATAATTGAACCATGTGTCTCATTGAAAAATTGTTTAGGTCTCTAGTTCTAGCAGCTGTGAGAGTTAAAATTACCCTCCTTATTCCACTCAGTGTATTTCATTATTTAGACATCATATATTAGACATAAGGAAGAACGTCTTGAGTGTAACAGTGATTAAACGCTGAAACAGACTACCGAAGGAGCTTGTGAAATTATCGACTCTAGAACATTTTAAAAATAGAGGCAGCCATCTGTCTTCAGTGATTTGGGTGGTAATCTGTCTTTGAAAAGGAGACTGGACAAAATAAACTTGATAGGGGAATATTAAGCAAATAATTTCCTGGACATTTCCCCCCTAATTTGATGGCTTTATAGATACATGTATTTTATGTGTGTTTTTTGTTATGGTGAGCCATTCTGACAAATAACTCTATATCATTTTTTATAACTTTGGATTATATACTACTTGAGGACTACTCTTAGAAGAAATTGATACATCTCCTATGTTTCATGTTTAATACTATTCCCCAATACCTGAACTTTTCTTAGAGAACATTAATTACATGCTATGTATAATATCCACACTTTATGAAAGTGAGTTTTTAAAAAATAATTATGATAATGAAAGCGTGGTCAGATAAGCACCCGGATTGGGGAGACAAAACTAAAACTAAAAAGGAAGCAATGTGTAAAATGTTATGACTAAAAAAGGAGGCATTGAATCAAATATAATTCTAACCTTGACGTATAACTGGAAGAGACCATTTTCACTTGTAACCCCAAATCTCTTTAGCCAACCCTTCTTTCCCCCAGAGCTCTTGACCAAGAAACCATGTACATAAAAACAGTGCCAAATAAAATGGGAAAAAAGTACCAATTTATGAATAACTCTTCAGGCGTCTGATGCCACTCAAAAGAGGGCTCCATGGAAAACTCATCAGCTATAAATACAGCTTCAGCCAAAGAGCTACCTTCCCAGAACCCACAGCTTCAGCTAACCCAGCTGGAGAGAACAAACTCCTGTCTGTTTTACCTGCCAGTTACAAATGGTTGTTTTGGAACAGAAAGTCCTTGGCAAGTCTGAACTGGGGGTGGAGGGTGGGGTGCAGACCCTTCCCACCTTGGGGGAATTCTTTGAAAGAAGAAAGGATAGCTAGGGAACACTGGACATAGACTGTGTCCTTTAACACACAGTGACCCTTCCCACTCAAAATGTGAGCCAGTAAATGTCTTAGTCTCAGGGCGCCTGGGTGGCTCAGTCCATTAAGCATGTGACTTCAGCTCTGGTTGTGACCTTGCAGTTTGTGAGTTCGAGCCCCATGTTGGGCTCTGTGCTGACAGCTCAGAGCCTGGAGCCTGCTTTAGATTCTGTGCCTCCCTCTCTCTCTGCTCCTCCCCTGCTTGAGCACTGTTTCTATCTCTCTCTCTCCCTCAAAAACAGATAGATATTATTTTTTTAAAATCTCTTGGTCTCGGACCACCCAAAGTAACAATTCCTCCTACTTGGGGAAAAACAGAGGGATTCCCTTTCCCACACATGAGAACATGGAACTCTAGAGCAGGGATTCATAAGCAGAGAGTCCACTGAAGAATTTCATATGTCAAACTGGATTTTCAGGAAAATATTTCCATTTACTTCTTTCTAATACTCTGATGATTTGCTACGTGTGGGGAAACCACGAAAGAACTCCAACAGTAAAAAATCACTTTGTTCCATTTTGCTGTTAAGAAATTATTGTACGCCAAATAAGGATAGGTGTGCACATGATATGCATGTGATCACCATGCTATGTTGTCTAAAATATTTTGACAGAAATAATCCACCCTCATTGTTATTGACATTTCTCTTTCATTTACACGAAGTCTAGGTTATCCAGGGCAATTGCAAAGAAAACCAAATGCAATGAATCTTATGCACCTTTGGTTAATCCAAACATGTTGGAACACCAAAGCCTCCATGTAGCTTATATAAAAATGTTCTTGCTAATCAAAACATCAAACCAAAGAGAAAACTAAAGTGTTTCCATTGCACACATTTAGTATAGTGTCTAAAATTAAAAAAAAAGAAAAGAAAAGAAAAAAAAACTCGCCATACAAGTGTTAGCAAGAATGTGGAATAACTGGAACTCTGATACATGGCTGATGGAAATGGAAAACAGTATATGCAGTTTGGAAATAATTGGGGAATTAAATGAAAACTGAAAAAAAAACATACCTATGCTATGACCTACCATTCTACTCCAAGGAATTTACTTTAGCAAAATGGAAGCAGGTGTTCCTACAAAGACTTACACAACAGGGTTCATAGCAGCCCTATTAGTAATAGCAAAAAACTGGAAAAAACTCAAGTGCCGATGTCAATAAATGAATGCCTATAGAAATTGTGGTATATATACCATAAAAGACTACTCAGCAATAAAAAGATATCACTTCCTGATACCTACAGTGATATGGGTGAATCTCAAATGGATGTCAACTATAACTCAATAAAGTTGTTATACACAAACAAAATGCAAGAAGACCCTTATATCTGTTGCTCCTTAAATGCAATGGACCATAGAGCTGCCTTCCTTTCATTGTTCCTTCCTTCCTTCCTTCCTTCCTTCCTTCCTTCCTTCCTTCCTTCCTTCCTTCCTTCCTTCCTTCCTTCCTTCTTTCCTGGAGACAAGTTTTTAAAGAGACTGAAACTTACTCAAAATTTAATTTTCCTCATTTCAAAAGCCTAATCTTGTAATGCTGTACAGGGTTGCAGTCCAGAGGACAAATCTTGAAGCCCATGATTGAACAACAGGCATAAGTTGTGTTTGCTTTTAGAGAAAAAGAGACCCTTCTTAGAACAGGAAGGAGTTTGTTCCTGACTTGGGTATTTGGCTGATATTTTCAGCTATAAGAATGAAGTGAAACTTTTGACTCAAGTCTCTGAAGTTACTATTTTGGATACTGCTGAAAATCTACTGTCTTTTGTCCCAGCTGCCTCTCTGGAAGGAGAGATTGGAAGTGGAGAAGAATGTAAACTTTTCAGTGTGGAGAAAGCATTTCTGGAGGCTGGTGTAAAAAGTCACCTAGCCTTTCAATTTCTCAGCAGGCAGAAATCTGCAGAACTTTTCTGAAGGTTACTTCTGCTCAGAAGGCTTTAAATTGAAACGCAGAATTGTAATCCTTTTGCCGTTAACACAGATGGTCTCAATGATTCAGCCCTGACCACAAGGTCTTCTTTGACTTTGGTACAAACAAAATGAAAGATAGGGATTCTTGTACTCCGTGACAACCCACTCCTCATCCGACAAAGTTAGACATAGGAGTTTGGATTCTATTTTCCACTGAATTCTTTTGTGGGTACAGATCGTCTTCCATTGGTAAAGCCAAAGTCCTCAATCAGTCGGCCTTCACAGATTATGTACACATTTCTAGTTATGCCACAATCATTTCTTATACAGAACCAAACAATGAGCCTCTTCATTCAAAGTTGTTTTGGGCAGAATTGAAGCGCTTTTTGTTTTAGTTGCACAGTTTGGAGCCATTTCCATTTTACGATTAGTAAGTGATCATTATGATCAAGAGTAAACGTGACCTGATGCCTCAGAGGATTTTATAATCTAGCTGTGTAGTGGAAATGAGCATGGAGTAAAGGGAAACAAGCTGTCAAAAATACTTGCACATGTATTTATGTGTATCTTTTCAGAGGTCTATAGGCTTCATCAGCTTTCAAAGAGACATTCAACCCAAAATAGTTTAAGAATCATTGGTCTAAAAGCAACATTGCTTTGTTGGGAAAACTGATGAGTACAGCGGTACTGAAGTTGCACTTGAAGTGATGACCAGATCTTCAAATGGATCCATACAGCACACATCACCGTATGATGGAAGAAAAAATAAACATTACTACCAAAAATAAGTTTTTAGAAGAATATTTGATATATTCTAAGAAATATGGAAAATTAAAAATAAACAGACCTCTCTTGCTACTGTTCATTTTAATATTTTACTTTGAGTGACACTGATGGGAAGGGAACGATACTCTTTTCGTAGTCTGGCTCTTCTGCTAGGCCATTGGGTGATCGCGGGAAAATGGGGGAAAGGGTTGGTGCTGGGA